CTAATGAACCATTGCAGATACCAGTAGCATTCTACTGTTTCTACCCCCCCCTGTTTGGGGGGTTTGGTCAGCTTATGGAGAGTAGCCAAGGTAATGTTGGTTAACATTCTAGCCCTGGATCTTATGGTACTTATTATGTGACTGTGGTCAGGCCACTCTTGCTCTCTGAGCCTCAATTTATTTTTCCAAAAAATGGAGTTGGTCTCTATAATCGCCATGACCCCTTCAAATTCTGACAATCTTGATTCCTAAATGACCTCGTTCAAGGGTTTCTTCCTTTCCCTCTGGTGGCACAGAAAAGGCCAACAAGGATGACCACCCCTGGCTTCAGCCAAGGGCCCCAAATCCATAGCAGTGAACCGTAGCAATGGACTAGAGAGGCACTTCATTACTGCAAAGGGAGCCCGGGCCTTATAGTGAGAAAACCTGGCTTCAAAGTCCTGCTCCATCCAGATAACTTACTAGCTATATGACAATTATAAGCCTCCTGAAGGCAAGGGACTGTTTCATCTTTGTCTTCCATTTCCCCAGCCCTTAACTGAATGTCTGGAATGTTAATAGGTGCTCAGTAAAAAATGCTTGTTGAAATGGTCAGAGGTCACTTGTCCTCTCTGTACCTCTGATTCCTCCCTCATCTGTGAAATGGGGATTAAAAAGACTTGTTAGATGGTGCAATGGATAAAGTGCTGGGCCTGGAGTCAGGAAGACCTGAGTTCAAACTGGGCCTCAGATACTTACTAGCTGTGTGAGCCTGGGCAAGTCACCTAAACCTGGTTGCCTCAGTTTCCTCATCTGTCAAATGAGCTAGAGAAGGAAATGATGAACCACTCCAGTATCTTTGCCAAGAAAACCCCAAATCCTGGAGTCACAAAGAGTCAGACACGACTGAAATGACGCAACCACAAAGTAAAAATACTAATACTCCATCACAGGGTTGTTGTAATGGAAGCATCTTGTAAACATTCTGTGAAGGTCCAGGGTTCTTCTCCAACACTGTGTTGCCTCTAGTCAAATTGCAATGCAAAATAACTACAAGGTTCTGAAGAGATGGATTTTCTGGGGTTGCTTCATTGCCTTCCTGGCAGTGATGGGTTTAGAGGGTCCTGGCTCTTCGTGCATTAGCAGACCCAGCCCCAGCCCCAGCCCCACCAGACTCAAACAGCGTAAGCTGCTGTCTGTCCCTTCTGGATAATTCTGCTCCCACACTCCATGAGTCCCATACTTTCCTACTGTCTTGTAGTCCCAGCTCCAAGTCCTTAGCCTGGGGCATCAGGCCCCCAACTTGAGCCAAGAAATAGCTAACACAGCTTTGTGCTGGTCGGTGAGAAAAATAATGGGATTATATAAGATTATGTAAGATAGTATCCACCTACGTGAGGCTTATCTCTGATGATTTGCAAATAATTATTATAAAATAACATATATTGGGTGGAAAAATAGTGCCATGCTGAACAAAACCTATGTAGCTAAAATTAGAAAGGAAGCAGGTTAACTGGGAATAGTCTCATTTCCAGGATATATAAAGAATTGATTCAAATTTACAAGAGTAAGACTTGTTCCCCAATTAATTAATAGTCAAAGGATATGAGTTTTCAAAGGAAAGAGCTCTAAACCATCAATGGCTCTATTGGGAAAAGGTGCTGTATGAGGTGTGGAATGGAGAGTAGAGATCATTTGACTTGGGCTTTTTTAGGCTTGGAAGGAATTCAGCAGATAAAAATGGCATATCTTCTGGGTATCTCAAGAGGAGGTATAGGCAAGAGTTTCTCCAGTGGTGTGAGGCTATAGAAATGAGGCCTTGTCTTCCTGATAGTGAAGCTGGTTCAGAATTCTCATAGCTCTTTCCCCAACTATGCCTTGTGACTTTGGGCAAGTCACTAATAATAACGGCTAGCGTTAAGATAATAATAGCTAAATGTGAAAATATGTTTAATAGGAATGTGTATGTATAGCCTATATCAAATTGCATGCCGTCTTAGGGAGGGAGGTGGAGAGAGAAGGGGAGAAAAATTTAAAACTTATGGAAATGATTGTTAATAAATCAAAATAAATTAATAAAGTTGCATTCAGCCAAAAAAATATTAATAGCTAACATTAATAGATTTTTAAATACATAGGTTTTAAAATTTTTTAATTATTTTGTTTTTAATTTTAAGCTTATTTTTAAAAATAGGCTTTTTAAAAATGAATCTTACCTCATTTTATCCTCACTACAACCCTGGGAGGAGGGAATCCTAATTCTGAGCTATTAGTAATCTCATTTTACAAGTGAGAAAACCGTTTGACCAGAGTCACACAGTTAGTAAGTGTTTGAGGCCAGATTTGAATGCAGGTCCTACTGACTGAAGGGCCAGCCCCTATCCACAGCACCGCCTTGTTGTTCAGTTGTGTCCTACTCTTGGTGACCCCATGGAATTTTCTTGGCAAAGATACTGACATTGTTTGTCATTTCCTTCTTCAGAGGTTAAGTGACTTGCCCAGGGTCCCACAGTGTCTGAGGGCAAATTTGAACTCAAGTCTTCTCAACTGCAGGCTGAGTACTCTATCCACCCAACCATCTAGCTGCCCCACAGCACCACCTAGCTGCCTCTAAATAGCTACCATTTCTATAACACTTTGAAGGTTTGCAAAGTGCTTTACAAATATCTCATTTTATCCTCACAATAGCCTTGGGAGATAAGTGCTGATCCTTTTCATCAGTGGGGAAACTATGACAGAGATTTAACTGACTTCTTCAGTTTTACACAGCTTTTAAGTGCCTGAGGCTGGATTTCAATTCAGGTCTTCCTGACTCTAGGTCCAGTTTTCTAAATCACTTTCCCTCTCTCTTTCTTAATGTCTTAATGTCTCCAGCTAACTATAGGGGACTGGGGAGTGAGGGTCTGAGAAAGAGCAGAGGAGATGATTAGCCCTGATTCCTACTTAACCCTGAATAAAAATTAATCAGGTCAAGTTGGGTTGTTTGTTTAGGCCAGGAGTGGGGAACCTGTGGTCTTGAGGCCACATGTGGCCCTCTAGGTCCTCAAGTGCGGCTCTTTGACTAATTAAGGGGACCACATGTGGCCTCGAGGCCACAGGTTCCGCACTCCTGGTAGGCTTTCTTGGGGAACAGGCACTTGACTCATTTAAGTCATTTTTTTTCAGTCATGTCTGACCCTTTGTAACCCCATTTGAGATTTTCTTGACAAAGATACTGGAGTGGTTTGCCATTTCCTTCTCCAGATCATTTGACAGATGAGGAAACTGAGGCAAACAGGGTTAAGTGACTTGCCCAGGGTCACCCAGCTAATTTTTTAACTCTGCAAGATGAGTCTTCCTGACTCCAGGCCCAGTGTTCTGTCCACTGTGCCACCTAGCTGCCCTACTTGAGACTCAATTAACAAATAAATATTGCAGGGCAGCTAGGTGGCGCAGTGGATAGAGCACCGGCCCTGAAGTCAGGAGGACCTGAGTTCAAATCTGGCCTCAGACCAAACACTTGACACGTACTAGCTGCGTGACCTTGGGCAAGTCACTTAACCCCGATTGCCTCACCAAAAAAACAAACAAAAAAAACAAATAAATATTGGGCCCTATTTGGTAGTACAGAAGATGACTTTCTTAAGGGATAGGATTCAGGCCTGTGAAACAACAGGAGAACACCAAGGGCCAAACTTTGTGGTACAGCCTCTAAGTGCAATAGAAGGTCAGAAGAGGGAGGAGGTCACTGGCCATCAGGGCAACTGGGGAATCCTTCCTGCAGGAGATAATACTCATTCAGTGCCAGAGAGATGGGTTGGGGGGTGGAGGAGAGGCTCCCAGGGAAAGGGAAACAGTGAGGACAGAAGTGAGGAGACAGGAATGAGGGGAGGGGACAGGAGACAGGAAGAAGGCTGGAGACTAGCTGGAGAAGTATTTGTTTTATTTAGTGTGACCTGATGTATTAAAGGGGACTTTATGTCCCCTAGGGTGTGTCTGGGGTGGGGGGTGGGGGGTAGGCATTGGCTAAGTGGAAGTTGCTCACATTTCTCCTCCTTATCCCTCCCAACAGGATTCTACTTGATCTCCCCATCAGAGTTTGAGCGTTTTTCCCTGAGTGCCAGGAATATCACGGAACCCTTGTGCTCCCTAGATTTCATCCGACCTCATGATACAACCTGTGTCAGGTGCCAGGGGTGGGTGGGGTGCCTGGGGGTAAGAGTGGGGGTGGGGGAGAAGACTTCCTGCCCAGGGCCTGATGCACAGTGAGGAGGGGTCACAGGTACTCTCCACCTCCTGGCAGGCAGAGGCTCCAGAGATGCCCACTACTGCCCCTCTCCCTTGGAAAAGATCCTGTATCTCCTTAGGGCCCTGTCCTAAGCCTCTCCAGGCAATTGTGACTCAAAAGATGCTGTGCCAATGCCCTCTTCAGGCTGACATTTTCCAAGTGGCCTCTGGTAGTACTGAGTGCCAGGAAGCCCCAGCTGGCAGCTTGGGGTCGGGCGTGAGAGCTTGATGGTCATGGGCAAGTGAAAGAATCCTTTGGAATCCAGATGTACTTGGTGCCTAGAAGTGCCAGCCTTCCAAGGAGAAGGGTTCTGTACCATGGCAGGATTGCTAAGACTTACACACTGCTAGGTCATGAAAACTTGTCCTTGCCTGGCACTTTGTTTGGAAACCAGATGTCAAGGCTTTACATGGGACCTTATGAATAGTCTCTCTCCATCAAAGAGACCAGGGGCCAGATTTTTCTAGCTGCCCATGTTCCTTCTCTTACCCCTGCTTCCACCCCCTTCTCTCCCCTCACGGACACCTTCCTCTCCCCCTATCACACCTTTCCCTTCTTTTCCAGCAATGATTACAAAGGATCGCCCAAGCTGAGCCAGGCCAATGGAACCCACGTGCTGCCAGCGTCTGAGGGGAACCATTCCTTTGTGGATGGAGCTGGTGAGTGCGAAAGTCTTGGAGGGGAAAGAGATGAGGGGCGTGGGGGAAGAGGAAGAATGGCTGGAAGTGGACTTGGTAAAAGTGGAAGTAGGTGCTTTCATGAGTTTGGGAGAGATGGATCAATCAGTGTGGCTGAAATAGGTCTCGGAGGGAGTGGGATTCGACCTGGTTCTTTAAAGGTCAGGAGCCACGAACTGAGAATCGGGAGGTCTGGGTTTTAGCCACACTAACTTTCTGTGTCGATGCCTGTACAATGTGTGCATACTCATATGTGTGGACCACTTCTCTTTTAGTCTCTTCATCTGCTTAAATCAAATGAGAGGGTTGGACCAGATGATCGCTAAAGGTCTTTTAACCTCATTTTTTAAAAACTATGATTCTGTGGAGGATTCTTAGATAAGCAGAGAGCAGAAGAGATACATTTGTGGGTAGGGAGGATGAACAGTCAATGTATACGTGTGTACATATTGTATGCAGCATGTGATTATGTATAAATGTGAGGCGGTGTGCAGGAAGCAATGAGAGATACCACGTTTTCCACCTGTTCTGTGGCAACCTGATACCAGGGGACTAGTGAGAGCTTCACCAGGGCAGTGGCCCAGGAACTGATACAATGCTGTGCCTAGATGCCCTTTGCATTCCTTATGGAGGGGAGTAGGATCCTTAGAACCTTATGGATCCAGAAAATCCCTAGGGGAAGAGATATACCTAAGATCTAGGGTGGAAGGGGTGGCCCTTCACAGCAGGCTTGGGTCTAGTAGAGGGTAGAAATATGCCCCCAGAGCCATGCCTTATTGGCTTAATATCCAATACAGAATCACAGCCAGACAGGCCCCCGCCAACACCTTGGAGGAGGTGAACCTGTGGGCGGATGGCCAAGTGGCACGCTGCAGCCCAGTGGCTCCACATCCCATCTTTGCTCTGGCTTTGGGCTCTCTCCCTTGGCTTGCCACATCCTTCTTCTCCCCTACATGTTTCCTGGGGACCCTGTACAGGGATTTAATCTCTTTAGGCATTTAGCTCCACCGTCTCTTTCTGTGTGACAAGTTTTCGTAACTCAGGACTGTGAAGTGGGGCCGTGGGTGAAGGAAAGAGGGAGTAGGGAGGGTCATATTCTTGGCCCCCTTTAGAGCCCTGGTCCTGACCACCTGGTGCTAGGAAGCCCCAGGGTGATGCGGTACATCCCAGGCCGAACTACTCCATTCTGTTCTACCAAGGTACCCCAGAGCATTCCCAGGCTGCCCTCTCCCCTGCATCCATAGACTCTCCCAACAGCACAGATACCACGCTGGACAGCACAGCCGATATCACCGTGGAAGAAGTGAAGGATTTCTTGAGGTGAGGACAGGAGGAGGCCCATTTCCCTTGGCTGGCAACAGGGAAGTCCTAACCTACTCTAGGCCAACCTTGGCTTTGCCAACCAGACCTTTCATCTCCACACCAAAGCTGACCTTACCTTGGCCTTAGAAACCTAGATCTCTGAGAGTCCAGGGGGTACCCAGATTGTTCTCAGTGGTTTATCTCAAAAAAATTCCCATTGGGGAAGGAAAAGGACAACTGCCCACAAGGAAAACTGCCACCCCTCCCTCCCAGCTTCCACCCATCCCTGCAGTTCCCAGAAAAAGCACTTTACATATGTCAACTCATATGACCCTCACAAAAACCCTGTGAGATAGGCACTATTATTATCCCACTTTACAGATGAGGAAACTGAGGCACAGGGGGTTTAAGTGACTTGCCCAGGGTCACTACTAAATGTCTGAGACCAGATTTGAACTCGGGTCTTCTTGACTCCAGGCACAGCAGTCTACGCAGTGGGCCACCTAGCTGCCTCACAAAAGTGCCTTGTGTTGTATTCTGACTCTGCTCCTGACTAGATATGACTTCAGGCGAGTTATATCCCTGTTCTGCTGTTAAGTGAAAATGGCAGTTCCTGCTTTATGTACTTCTCAGGCTTCCTTTGAGGGAATCAAGTAGGATGGTGGGAGAGAGAAGACTTTGGAAAATAGCACTGTGTCCCTGAGGTGCGGGCAGTTATTAGGCAGGTATGGAAATAAAGTCAGAGTGAAGTCAGAGTCAGGAATGAGCAGAGAAGGAAGAAGGCAAAGCCGGACCTCTTAGCCTCACTCTTCCAAGCCCCTGGGGTGGTGATGGAGAGGATGGGGCTCCTTCGATTCTGAATGTCCTTCCCCATCTCACCCCATGCCCAGTGGCCTCATCCCTCTCCATGGTGTATTGCAGACCAGCACAACTTGGCATTAGGTAGGGACCAAAATTAAAATAGGCTAAACTTCTTCAGGCCACGGATAGGTTAGATTAGAGACAGACTGATAATGGTTTGTTGCCGTGGGTCATGTGACAAACAGGAGTACTCAGTGGCGACCCGCCCTTCAAGTTACATGACAGGCACAGTAGTGACTAGTGGAAGGCGGGTTAAGCGGGGCACGAACAAAGCACTGTTAACATCTTTGCTTTCTTTTGCATCCTCTTACATTTTTTGTGGGCTGCCCGAAATCCTTTGGTGGGCTACAAGTGGCTTGAGGGCCGTATTTTATATAGGTCTAGTATATTGGGACGAGTGTTCTTTCCATCCTGGGAAATAGGAGCTGGGGGGGATGGGGGTGGGGGTCTTTCTTGGTCTTATGAGTCTCTTTCCTCAACCGCTCTCTCTAGCTCTTCAGAGGAAGCAGAGAAAAATCTGAGAAATATAGCAGAGGACGACACCCGATCTCCAGGAATCCTGATCAAATAAGGTGAGGGGAAGCTTGGTTGCTGGAGGACTATTGTCTAGGCCTGGGGGAAAGGAGATTTAGGAAGGGAAAAATTGAGTTGCTGAGTCTGTGGATCTGTATTTGCATCCTATGTAGGCTGCATGCTGAGACCTGGGGGAGAAGAATCTTAGAATCTTTGAGCTTTAAAGTGATAGTCTTAGAATCATAGATTTTTAGGACTGAGCCCAAGGCCTCAGAAGTCACGTAGTTCAATATCATCCCTTTACCAGAGGCCCAGTAATGTTAAATCACTTGTCTAAAGTCTCATATCAAATTAGAGCTAATCAATCAATTGATCAATAAACATTTATTATGTGCCTGCTATGTGCCAGGCACTGTTCTAATTGCTGGGGGATACAAAAAGAGGTAAAAGATAGTCCCTGCCCGCAAGGAGCTTACAATCTAACAGAAGAAACGATATGTGAGCAAATATTTACATATGTAGGATAAATAGGAAATAATTAATAGAGGGAAGGCACTAGAATTAACTGGAGAACTTTCCTGTGGAAGGTGAGATTTTAGTTGGGACTTAAAGGAAGCCAGGGAGGTCAGTAGTCACAGTGGAGGAGGGAGAGCTTTCCAGGTTTGGGGGACAGGTGGAGTTCAAGAAACAGCCAGGAGGCCAGTATCACGGAATGAGGCTTAGGCCTGGAAAATTAGGAGAGGGCTAGAGCTGGGACCAGAACCAGAAGGGAAAACTCTCCTCATTTTAGAAATGATGAAACCGAAGGCCCAAAAAGGTTAAATGACTTTTCCAGGAACTGTCAGGTAGTAAGTGGGAAAATCCAGAATTTGAAGCTAGTCCCGGTGGCTCTGTGGCTGACTTCCAAGCCCCTTCCTCTACCCACCCACTCCAACCTTTAATCATAAATTCTGAGGCTGCTGTTTCTATTGTCACTGATGTCTGGTCAATCCCATTCAAACTGCATTGGTTAAGCAATTGTAGATTGTGTTATTTACAATCAAATGAGATAACTTACATAAAAGCACCTTTATAAACTTCAGAGCACTTTGTAAATCTTAAAATCGCTATATCAGTGTTTGTTATTGTTATTTTTTAACAAGGCAGTGCTTGGCACTGGAGAAACAAAACAAAAACAAAATGAAAAGTAATTCCTTCCTTCAAGGAGTTCACGTTATGTTGGAGGGAGGTTACACTATGCAGGCAGATAAGTTATCTCTATGACAATTTAAGGAGGCAGAACCAGCAGGGTGAAACAAGAACGGCTTCTCCAGAATAATTGTAACAATACAGACAGCTAGCAGTGCACGGGACCTGGATCTAGGAATCCTGAGTTTGAATCCAGACTCAGATATTTAATAGCAGTGTGACCCTGAATAAGTCACCTAATCATTATCTGCCTCGGTTTCTTCATCTGTAAAATGGGGATGATAATAATAAGCACCCATCTCTCAGGGTGGTTGAGAGAATCAAATGAGGTATTTGTAAAGTGTTAGAGCCCACCTTTGGTTCATTAAGGAGTAACAACAGCAGCTGTTAGGGAATGGAGATGATTCCAACAAGCCAGCCCACCTTTCTTTGTCAGACACAAGGTGGCAGTTGTGTCTCAGCCCATGGGTTAACGTTCAGTTTGGGCCTGTGGGGATTCCTTAAGTTCCAGGGGAGGAAGATCCCCTTAAGTTCTGGATCCAGGGTCATCATTAAGCTTGTCAGGTAGCCCCATCAGTCATTCCATAATAAAGTGCCATAGTCCCATGATAAAGGTGGCCCACTCCCTTGACTTCTCATTGGCTCACCAACTGAAGCGTTCTGCCAGAGGAAAACAGGAGCGTGTACAGGGAGAAGACAGAGCCCTTCTTAGTAGGTTGTGACCCAGATTTAACTGGGACATAGGAGGGAAGGTAGCCGGTGCTCATTCCTCCGGGAATCAGGAGTTCTGGGGCATGGTTCTTGATTAAATCATTTTCACCTCTGGGACTAGATTTCCACTCCCCCTGACAGAAGGATTGAACTGTTATCTCTAAACCTCCTAGTTGCGGCAGTCTGCAAACTTCAGTATACAAGGTTCAGACGTAATCAGATACAAAAGAACCTAAGTAGTTACATCTTTGCACCTCATTCCTGCCTGGATGTGATTTTAGGGAGTATCTCCAGCAAGGAAGATAGGCCCTGTGCCCTCTTCCCAGAAGAGTTTATTTTCTCTTCTACCTCATTGGGTGGGTGGACTCAGAAAAGTCCCAAAGGGCACTTGTCCTCTGTAGTCCCTTGTTGGGAAGGTGCCACTTGCTCCATCAGCCACGTCACCCTAGGCATTCAGGCAGCCATCCTGTTCAAGTAAAGGCTTCCCTCCTTACCGGGGCCTGATCTCCCAGTTACTGAAACATAGATGCTTGGTTTGTTATTGGACACTCCCAAGTCTGTACCAGTACCTGCCATGTAGGAATGCTAGACTGGTTAGTTAGGAGACCGAAGTTCGAACCCCAGATCTCATACTACCTGTGTGAGGAAAGCACTACTATAAATGTGAGTTATTTTAGTGGAGTCACAGAGGGAGGAAAGAGGAGAATCCTTTCTTTCAAACAAGTTAACGTTGGTTCTTTACAATCTGGAGACCCTAGGCTGTGACTTCAATAGTTTTTTCCTGTTGATAATGCCAAAGTCCAAAGAAGAGTGGAGGCTGTCACAGTTTAGTTCCATGACCATCACTTAGAAGCCATATTCAGAAACATGCATAGAATCCTGCATAAAGATGTACTTGGCATACAGCCCTTAAAGACCATGGCAGAATTGAGGCTTCTTTCACCCTGACCCTCCCTGTGCCGCTTCTGAGCCCCAGGAGTCCCCACCCTTTATAGGGGAAGCTAGGTGGTGCAGTGGTTAGAGTGCTGGGCCTATATTCAGGAAGACCTGAGTTCAAATTTGCAAAGCATCAGACATTTACCAGCTTTGTGACCCTGGGCAAGTCACTTAACCTCTGTATACCTCAGTTTCCTCATCTGTAAAACGGGGATAATAATAGCACCTACCTCCCAGAATTGTTGTAAGGATGAAATAAGGTATTTGTAAAGTGCTTAGCACAGTGCCTGGCACATAGTGAGTACTATATAAATGTTAGCTATCATTAGCTATTGTTAATCTCTGTCCTTGCCTGGGGAATGAGTAGACGGAGAAAACTGGCCCTCCATGCCAGGGAGAAGGGGAGGGGGATGTGGCATATGAACCAACTGGAGGGGTCAACCCTGTTTCTTCCTTCAGGATAAATGCTGTTGCCTGTGCCTCAGGCTTGGACCCCAGTGATGAGGATCACAGCCCATGGCCCAGTCAGGGCCTCAACAGTCCACGCACACCTGCCCTGTGTCCATTGGATACTGTCCCTGTAACATAGGCTTGTACCTTCTAACTGTGGCAGGGCAGAAGCAGCAGTGCCCTGGATCCCCATAACCCCCGCCCACCCTCCTGGCCCCCCAAAACAACACTAAGAAGAATCTTCTTCCAGGGGTGGGGAGAGGTGGGGGAGGACGGCAGGAACCAAGGAAGGAGAGAGCTCTGCGTGTACCTCCCCCTGGCCCTCACTGGCCATTTCCCCTCTGTTCTTCTAGGCGTCATGTTTCTCATGTCTAAGACTGTTTCTGCCCCATGGACCGAAGGGATAGAATCCTCACTCCCTGATCCCTGTTACTCTCATACAACACAGCCTCCCTCGGGAGCCAAGGCTACTGTTTTCCCTGCTTAGGCTACCTCAGCTGGCCCAGAAAGCCTGTCTGTGGCAGAGGGGTAGGGGTGAGCCCCACGCACTCCCACCTTCCCGTGTGCCACCCCCCTCCTCCATGTCCTACTTAAGTCCTTGGAGGAGAGTGGGATATAGTAGGACCAGTGTACAATGGCATCTTCCTACAGAGAAGCCCCCCACCCCATGTGGTGGGCCTGGTCCCCCACCTCCCCTGCTGCCTCCATCCTAGATTCTCTCCCTCAACTCCAGGCTTCTGTCCTCAGCCCCCTCACCCCCTTTTCAACCTGCTAGACCCATGCCTTGCCTGAGGGGTTCTGGTGTCACATAGGAGACGTCATGCCTCATACCTACCTACCTACCAGAAGTGGATTAGAGGACCAGGCTGCTGCCTCCGTCCCCCAGTTTCAAACGAGTCATTTTTTTTCTTCCCCCCCCCGGGGATGGCCCGGTTGGAACTTGGCCTCTTCCATCTTGTCCAGAAGCACAAATCCAACCTAGTGGCACATAATCTTATCTAACTTATCCCAGCTCCCAGTCACATCCCCTGGAAGGGAGAAGTTCGGAGATCACGAGAGCCCTGTTTTTCCTAACTGTTAACTAAGTGGTTGATGTCTCCTTGAGGCAGCCAGGCAGAGAACAGTGGTGTTAGGTTCCTAGCTCCTCCGAGAGGAAAGAATCATGCAGCCCCTCCCAGTAATTTCTGTATGATTTCTATGGTGTTTGCCCCAGGAAACTGAGCAAAGGGAATGATTCCTATCAAGCCTGCAGGACTTGGGGTGGGGGGAGGTAGGGGGTCAGTTCCCTGTCTGTCACAGGCAATGCCTTCTAAGGAGAGAGACCCAGAGGTTAGGGCCCCATTGTCATCCTGAAATCCCCACCTCTTCCCAGGCCAGCCAAAATGGGGGCAATTGCTGGGGTATGGTGTAGGTCACGAATCATAAGGCAGCCTCTCCCAGTCCAGCTTCTGTAACCACTCACATCCTGGGCCGAGCCTCAGTCAACAAAGCCACTTTGAAAGGTTGGGGGGGAGCCTGAGGCCCAGGAGTTCATCCCAGGGTGAGTCCCTGGTCAGGAATGCTGGAGCCTTTGCGTACAGAATTTCTTTCTTTCTTTCTTTCTTTTTAAACAGCCAAGGTTGCCTCACTGGGACTTTGACAAAAAAGATTTCTAAAGTTATTTTGGTATTCTTGCTCCTGGGTGGTTCCTGCTGTGAGTGTGTGTATAAGTGTGTCTGAGCCCCACTCCAGGCCGACAAACGTGCCGACTGACCGTGCTCCCATTTTGTGTCCTGGGGGGTTGGGGAGAAGTGGTGGTAGGGGGCTTCTCTTGTAGAATGTATCTTTTTTGGGGGGGGGAGGGGTCTTTTGTTAAGATTAATTAGCATTGTTTTAGGTATTAAAAATACTGGTTTTTAATATTGAAAATAAAGCATTTAGTATCTTAAAGGGCCAGTGCATCTGCTTCCTGCCATGGGTACGTACAGCCCCGCACAGCTCATTCCCTGCCTTGGTTCTAACAGTGGATCAGGAACCTCAGATGTGCCACATGGCAGGGTCCTGAGATGTAGGATCCCAGCAGTCTAGCATGTGGACTTGGAAAGTTGAGAACACCTGGGTTCAGATTTCCCCTTTAACCCTGACAAGCTGGGAGTCAGCAGCATGGTGCCTGACTGAACACCAACAGGTTGAGCAAACATACTTATCCACAGGACTGCTCTTGCCTGGCCCAGAAAAGAGGCCACACGCCATTCCTGTCCAGAAACTCTGTTCACAGCTAGCTGCAGGCCAGTTTCCTTCCTTTAGCGCCTGCCAACACCTTTTGCACTGCAGACAGCCCTCCTACCTTATTCAATTCTCAGAGAGAGAGTTCCCAGTGACTCAACTATTTCCATCAGGAAAAAGGAAGGGTATGAGGTAGCAAAGAGGACAGGTAAGTCCCTGGGAAATCAAGAATGGGTAAAAAACAGCTCCATCAGCACGCACTACTCCTTTACCCCTAAGAAACCACTTCTCCATGTGTCTGCACTATCAGTGCTAGGACCAATTTTTATTCCAACAATACAATACACCAGATGCTGCTGGGACTGATGGGGAAGGAGTGGTGAGTCCAGAGTGAGGGGGTCCTAGGCAAGGGATGGGGGAAGGGGAAGTGCAGGCCTTGGTAACAAGGTCAGAAAGCCCTAATAAGTCCTAGTGGGGAGAGGGGAGCAGAATGGGTCATGAGATGCAGAGAAGGCAAACTCCCATCTTCCCTCGCCTAGCACTGTGCCCTCTGCCCACTAAACGGACCTCAGCGCCACATGCCACACTCCCTCCCTGAGCTCCTGAGAGTCCCCTGGGCAGCATCAGACACCTGCTGTGGCCATAGAACAGCTTAAGAAAAAGGGGTGCAGGCAGACAGAGAGATCCTAGAAGCCTGAGAGGAATGGATGAGAATGAAGAAAGCCATCCTCCCCAAACATGACGGCCAATGGCAACAGGGGCTGCTCGAGCACCCTTGGACCCCCAGCTCCTCTTCTCACAGGCAGGAAAATCCTCCTTTTAAAGCTTGTGCTGATGCTAGCATCCTTGAGTCAGGGGCAAGAAGAGCCTAGGCTAGTCCTCTGGGCCGGGCTAGGCAGGGGGTTTCCGGAAGGTACTCCAGGCATGGAAGCAGCGGGTGAATGGGTGTTGTTCGTTACCCTTGCGGACCAGTCGGAGCTTTCGAGGATGCTCCTGGTCTTTGGACCTCATGTGCTGGATATAAACCTGCCAGTGGGGAAGACAGAAAGGAGGTTAGAGAAATGATAGGCTCAGTCCCATTAGATTTCAAGCTGTCAGGGGCCTCAGCTCATCCAATCCAACCTCTTCATTTTATAGATGGATTTTAGATTGTATATATCGAGGTCCAGAGAGGCTGACATCACAGGTCAGCTTTCCACTAACCTCTCCCCTGCCCTGAAGGGGATCAGCACTGGATAACCTTCATCATCCCTAAGCTGCAGGCCCAAGGAGAGAAGAGGAAGCAGGAACAGCTCCAACCAATAAAAGGAAGGGAGTGAATGAAAAGTCTCAGCTTAGTCCATGGCCTGACACGAACAAGCTGTGTGACCTTGGGCCGGTAACTGGCTCTCCCAAGGCTTTGGTTTGCTTCTACATAAAATGAGCAGTGATTCTTAACCTGAAGCCAGAACCGTTTTCTTCTTTTTAAATATTCTGTTAACTATATTTCAATATAATTTGTTTCCTTTGTAAATCCTATGTATTTTATGCCTTTACAAATATTATTCTGAAAAGGGATGTCCATGACACAAAAAGGTGAAGAGGCCCTGGTCTGGATGAGCCAAGCCAGCCGACAGGAAGGCTTCAGCTACACGGATGGTCCGGCAGTCAGCAGACGCTTACCTGACAGGCCTTCAGACTCAGCTTGATCTCCACCTGGCTTGTCTGAGTTCCCACCCACATGTAAACCTGCGAGGTGGAGTAAAAAAGGAGAGACAGCTGAAGTGACACACCCCTCAGGAGCATCCTGGCATAGGGAGAAGCGGGGGTGCCACAAGGCAAGCAGGACGATCTGGGCACCATTCCCAAGTCTGTCACTAATGTGCCAGTGTGACCGTGAGAAAGTCATTCTCTGGTCCTCAGTTTTCTCATCCATGAAATGGGAACTGTGGCAAGGACTAAGGGAGATAGGGGTTACAGCTCTATGAGGCCCTAACACCAGCCCAGCCAGGCTTGGGGCTATGCCCAGAGCAGAGTCGGGGGTGGGACCGGCACAGTAAGGGAGCCAGGAGGGAGGGAAGAACTCACCTCCCGACCGTTGTCCAACAGCATAATATCATCGTCGGCCAAGTCATCCTGGCAGAAGTCGGAGCACTTTTCTGACACTGAGAAGTAACCTTTCTCATTGGAACACCTGTGCCAGAGAGGGAAAGAGTTGAGGAGGTTCCAGGCTCCAAAGTTAGAGGGGAGGGGGCTTCCATGGAGTGACGGGGGTTGAGGAGCCCACAAAGGAAAAGAATTAGGGAGACCGAGGAGGTCAGGGAAGCTGGGGCTCACCTGAAGAGTCGCGCGTACTTCATGTAGTCGGCGTCTTCGTCATAGGGCTTCTGAGCGCCAATGCCCACCCAGAAGAAGTTTTCTGGCTCTTCTCCCTCATTAATCACCTATTGAGAAAAGCGGGAGCGAAGGGTGTTGGGCTAAAGGTGGGAGTTAGGCAAGGACAGTTTGGGCTGTAAGAGCTTATGACTGCACCAAGACTTTTGGGACACCTGTTACAGGTTTGAAAAGGCTCTTTTGTTGTTGTTCAGTTTGGGTCCTCGTGACCCATTTGGGGTTTTTTTGGCAAATACTAGAGTGGTTTGCCGTTTTCTTTTCTAGTCCATTTTACAGATGAGGAAACTGAGGCAAACGGTCACACAGCTAGTAAGTGTATAAAGCCGTGTTTGAACTCAGGTCTTCCTGACTCCAGGCCAGGAGTTCCGTCCACTTCACCACCTAGTGCTATAATGTTTGAAAAGGGTCTTTACAAATAATTACCTCATTTGATCTTCAAAACCCTGTGAGGTAGGTGCTACCGTTTAAAAGTAAATGAAAGTGAGTCCTGGAGAGGTTAAGTGAGGCAGCTGGCTCTGGAGTCAGAGAGGCATCTTCTTTACTTTTTACTTGCGTGATGTTAACCTCTTTGAACCTCAGTATCTTCATCATTCTTATGAAGGAGTTGGACGGGATGACCTTTGAGGTCCCTCTCATCCTTTATCTGAGGCAAGATTTGAACCTAGGCTTTCCACACTTGGTTCCAACCCCAGTGTTCTATTTATTATACAACAGTATGTCTTCCTGCCCCAGGGTCTACTCCAAGATGATGATTGTGATCACATTTAAATAGTGCCTTAAGGTTTGCAAAGCATTTTTACAAATATCTCATTTGATCCTCACAACCATCCTGGGAGGTTTGTGCTATTATCCCCATTTTACAGATGAGGAAACTGAGGCAGGCAGAGATTAAGTGACTTGCCTAGGATTGCACAGCAAGTAAGTGTCTGAGGCTGGATTTGAACTAAGGTCGTCTTGACTCCAGGGCCAACATTCAATCCAATGGGAAGCAGTGCTTTCTCAAGCCGTTTGGTCTCCTTTTATCTTCTTAAAAGTTACTGAAGGGGCAGTTAGGTGGCGCAGTGGATACAGCATCGGCCCTGAAGTCAGGAGGACCTGAGTTCAACTCCGGCCTCAGACCAAATGCTTGACACGTACTAGCTGTGTGACCCTGGGCAAGTCACTTAACCCAGGTTGCCTCACTAAAAAAAAAAAAAATTATTATTGAAAAATTGTTATTGAAAAGTCCTCTAAGAGTTTTTGCTTATTGATACTTACCACATTGGAAATTAAAAATGTCTTAGTATAACAAAAATAGTTTTGACTTTATGGACCCCCAGAAAGGGTCTAGGGTATCTCCAGACCAAACTCTGAGAACTGCTGCTCTTGAGTAGGGGTACCTAACTCAATCCACAGACAGACTTCAGGGGGTACATGAACTTGGATCTTTATTTTCACTAACCTCTAACTGACATTTAGTTATTTCCTTCATTTATGAACAAAGACAACAAATCATAGCAGTGTTAGCAGTACCTGTGACTTCGTCACCAATAGAAATAACATTTGCATATCACATGACATGGTTACAGGTATCTTGAACTATAGTTTATGCTAGTATTGCTTCAAAATTATTGTAGTTATTGGACCCAGCATTAGACTGTGTGAGAGCAGTTTTTCTGTTTACAGACTGGCAAAGGGGTCCCATTCCCCAAAGAAGGTTAAAACCCATCCCCCGGAGGTAAGAGAACTAAACGTCCCTCTTCCACCCCTGAGGTCAGAGCCAGGCCGGAGGGGAATCCCCATCCCATCCAGGCCCTTACCTGTTTGCTGTATGAGTCATTGAACATGTGATTCATGATGTCCTCGGCTAACTTGGCCTCTTCGGGGTCAGCTGCCCGTCCTACCCACGTGTACACGATGCCTTGATTGTCCGTGCTCTCAAAGGGGACCTGGGGGCCAGATCAGGGAAGAGAGTGAGTCCTCATCTGGCCACAGTACTCCCACCTCCTTCCCCTACCTTCATGGGGCTCCCTGACCATGCCATGCCCAGGCTACGCAGGTTCAGAGGAGGCCCAGGTTCTCCCCGCCCCTGCCCAGACACAG